CATGAACAGATTAATCAAAACTACAAAATTCAAAAGACTATCAAAATTCAAAAGAATTCAAAAGACCTCTAAACTGCAAAATCTTTCACAATTCAGACTTTTAAGCCTGTTGATGACCTGCTTTCTGGTTCTCGTCACTGAAGACCCTGGAAGCTATAACTCTGCTCTCTTTTGGTGAGTCTTACTAGTTTAAACCTCACACAAGTGACACTATGCAGTACTTGTCGTACTTTGGCTTATTTCACACAGCAGAAAGAATTCATGGTTCACACAAGGCAGGAATTTTCTTTCTTTTTAAAGGCTGAGTAATATTTTAATATTTGAATTTCTTTATTGATTCATCTGTTGCTTCAACATACTTTACTAAGACATCTTGCCTTTGCTGACTGCCATGAATAGTACCACAGTAGCGCCAGGGGGCTAATAGCAATTCAAGGTCCTAATTGCAGTTCTTGGAAGGATATTCTCAGATGGATTTCCTGGGTCATATTTTTTATTTTCTTTAAGAATGCTTGTACTGTTTGCCACGGGAGAGGCACCAGCTGCATTCCCACTAACAGTGTACAAGAGCGCCATGGTTCCCACAACATTGCCACAACAGTAATCCTGAAGGGGTGAAATACTATCTCGTTGTAGCCTGACTTGTATTTCCCTGGTGACTCATGATTTCTTTCTATACAGCTGTTAGTCACTTGTGTGTCTCCTTTGAAGAAATACCTATTCAGTTTCTTTGCCTACTTTTTAGTCAGAGCATTTGATGGATTTTTTTTATGGAAAAAAAGGATGAAACAAAATTTTATAACAAAATAATAGGGGAATGACAATAGTTAATACATTACATGGTGTTGTCTTTAAGGTAGCTACTCAGGGTGCAAGATGCAGGCATAATAATTTCTCCAATCAGAATTGGCACAACCCTTCCTTTTGAAAGAACTAAGAAACACTAATAGTATAACTGACTCACACTTTTCCCTTTTCCATACTGTCCTTTGTCTTTCATTTGTCCTAATTCCTTTTTCCTTTTGAACATTTTTTTCCATTTAATAATGTTTATTGTACATTTTAGACCTTATTTTTCTCTCCCACTTTCTCACACCAGGAAGACAATATGATGTTTACACATGTGAGTCTGATTTATTTCGCTTCTGAGCATGGTCTCATGTTGCATCCATTTACCTATGAGAGTCTCCAGTTTATACTTCTGTATAACTGAGTAGTACTCCATTGTATAAAAATACCACATCTCTTTTATCCATTCCTAGTTGACGACCATGGATAGTTCTCAACATTTAGCTGCGACGAATTGTGCTGCTCTAAACAAGGGTGCACATATATCACAGTGGTATTCCCCAAAGCCACTCCACTATTTGTTATTGGTTGATTTCTTGACAATAGCCATTTGTTCTGGGGTGAGATGAAACCCAGTGTTGTTTTAATTTGCATCTCTTGAATGACCACTGATGTTTAACATTTTTGAATACATTTGTTTGCCACTTGAAATTCTTCATCTGAAAAATGTGAATTCATCTCAGATGCCCAATTTTGGATTGGGTCTTTGAATGTGAGGGATCTGAATTTTTCAGTTCTGTATATGTTCTAGATAAAAATCCTTTGTCGGAAAGACAATTAGCCAATATTATTTCCAGTTCCATGGGTTGTTTTTTCACTTGGTAGGTGATTTCTTTTACTGTGAAAAGACTTTTTAATCAGATCAGAGCCCAGTTGTTGATTCTGTGAAGTACTTCCTATGCAGTCTGCATTTTGTTCACTATCTATACCCATATCTTCAAGATTTTACCTACTTACTCGTGCAGGGTATTAGGGTGTCTGTTTTAATATTTAATATCTCTGACGCATTTTGACTATAGTTTAGTGCATGGTGACAGACATGGTTCTAGTTTTAGTCTTCAGAATGTGGAAAGCCAGTTTTATCAGCACCATTTATTAAAGAGGCCGTCTTTCTTCCAGGTAACAGTTTAACATCTTTGTGAAAGATAAGGTGGCTGAGCGTGACTGTAGTTGTGTATGCATATTCTCATCTTTTCCACTGGTCTTCAGGTATGGTTTGTTTGTTTGATTGATTGATTGATTGATTGTTTTAGTACCATGCTGATTTTACCACAGTAGCTCTGCAGTATATTTTCAAGTCAGGGATTGTGATGCCTCCTACCTTGCATTCATTTCCCAGAATTGCCTTTGCTATTCTGGCTTTCTTCTGGTTCTAACTTGATTTTAAGAATGTTATCTCTACATCTATGAAGTGTGCTGATTGTATTTTGATTGGGATTGCGTGAAATCTGTGATAACAGTCTTGGGCGAATGACCATTTTTACTATGTTGGTTCTTCCTCTACATGAGCACAGGATATTTTTCCATTTTCTGATGTCCTCTTCAACTTAATTTTAGAGCACTTTAATTTTCAATATATAGATCTATTTCCTTTGTTAGATTAGTTCCTAAGTATTTCAATTTTTTGGCTACTATTGTAAAGCATGTAGTTTCCCTAATTTCTCTCTCAATGAGTTTATTTGTGTACAGAAATTTTATTGAGTTTTGAGAGTTGACTTTGAATCTAGCTATGCTACTGAATTTGATTATTAAATCCAGAAGTCTTTAGTGGAGGTTTTGAAGCCTTGTATGTACAGTATCATCTCATTTGTAAATAATTGTAATGTAACTACTGTTTTCTTATCCTTATTCCTTTTATTTCTCTCTTTTGTCTAATTGTTCTGCCCAATATCTCCAGAACTATATTGAATAGGAGTGATAATAGTGGGCATCCTTGTCTTGCTCCTGATTTTAGAGTGAAATCTTTCAGTTTTTGTCTATTTAGTACAATGTTGGCTGTTGGTGTGTCATAGATGGCTTTTATTGGATTGAGATAATGATCATCTATTCTGATTTTTCATAGGATTTTTTTTTTTTACCATGAGTAAGGGTTGGCCAAAAGCTTTGTCTGCATCTTTTGAAATGATCATGTAATGTTTCATTTGGTTGATATGATGTATTACATTTATTGATTTCCTTATGTTGAGCCAGCCCTGCATTCCTGATATGAGTCCCACTTGGTGAAGGTGTATAGTCTTCTAGATGATTTGCTGCTTTGTGTTTCCAAGTATCTTATTAAGGATTTCTGTTCCTATGTTCATTATGGAGACTGGCCTGTACTTTCCTTTTCTGGTTTGGCATCTGGTTAATACTTGTCTCCAGGAATGATTTAAGAAGTATTGTTCCCCTTCAATCTCCTTAAATGGTTTGAGGAATATGGGTATTAAATCATCTCTAAATTTCTGTAGCTTCCTCAGGTGAGATGTGGGAGAGCTGTGGGGTGACTTTCTGCTCCTGACCCGTGACACGAGGACCGCCTGGGGCCACGCAGTCCTGAGGTGCAGGCTGTTTATTTCCCCACATCTCTCTAACCTCAGGTCACAGGGGAAGGGTCAGCTGTTCCACTCACTATGAACCCCTGTCTTGTTCCTGGCAGTTCCAGTTAGCACTGTGGCTAACAAAAAGAATGGAAAGAAAAGAAACAATAAAAGGAAAAGAAAGAAAAAATTGTAAGGGAGAAAAACTGGCCAATCATCATGGAGAGAAAGCTTCATATCAGTAGAATTTACTGCTGGGCTGTAGTGCCTTCTGTTTGGAGGAATTCAGGGGCACCAGGGAACCTTAAGTCCCAAGTCTATCCTGTATGACTTGATTTAGCCACATTATTTTAGTGTTTCTTCTCCTTCTTCTTCTTCTTCTTCTTCTTCTTCTTCTTCTTCTTCTTCTTCTTCTTCTTCTTCTTCTTCTTCTCCTTCTTTTTCTTTTTCCCCTCCTTCTCTTCCTCCTCTGAGATTCCAAGTCTGCAGGCTGTAGTCCCTGTACAGCTACCCACTGGCAGCACGGTAGGCTGGCTGGCCATTTTATTAAGTCCTTTATCTCTATTCTGCTTGATCTATTAGCCTCTTATGTGACACTGACTGCAGTTTCAGGGTGTGTGTCCCTTTCTTTCACTTACCTGTGGCTGAATTGGCTGAATTTCTCCTAGTAACACTGATGAGGCTCCTCCTCTATGCAGTGACATTGTCTCCCCATATTTTATGGTTTGTTGTTGAGTTACAGGAGTTCCTTTTATATTTTAGAAACAAAACTCTTATCAGCTACATGCTTTATAAATATATTTTTCAGTTGTTTGGGTTGCCTTTTTATGGTGGGCATAAAATTTTCAGTATGAAGTACGACCAATGGAGCAGAACAAAGTTCAGAAAAAATTCTTACACATATGACAACTGATCCCTGAGAATGATACCAAGAACACATAATGGGAAAGGATGGAATGGTTACCGAACGGTCTTCAGAAATTGGGCTACCTCCATGGATACAATGAAATTGGATTATCTTTCACCATACAAAAAAATCAACTGCAAATGGACTAAGAGCTTAAGCACAAGGCTCAGGACTACAAAACAAAGGGAAAGCTTCAGGACATTGACTGGCAACACCTTTAGTGTTGTAGAACCAAAACAAAGGGACCTAGAGAATGATGCTTGTCCTCCAGGGTCCCCCCTTGCAGCCTCTCCCTTTCCAGGCTGTCCTATCAGCGAACTCCAGGTCCTGCAGCAGACGCTCTGTCCCCAGTCACAGCCACGTGTTCCTGAAAGACTTTGTTCCCTGCATATAATTCCTCACTTTCTGCTGTGTCTTCAACCGTCTAAATTTTGGCCTCCTTCCACACCACTCTCCAAACAGGTCGACGAATAATTCTATTTCTCTGAATCGGTGTGCTGCTGTTCTCGGTACCTTTAATCATGGGTGCACGACCTACTGGCTGGCTGCAGGGCCTCTGGTTTGCTTTTTTCCCTACCTACACGTGCCAGTTCTTCTGAGCTCTCCTTGACTCATCTTTCCTGTTAGGTGACATTCTTTATGTCTCAGCGCGTGGCCGTCTTAAATCCTCATGCAGTGTTTGCCCCTCAGTGATCTTGTCCTTTCTCATTGTTTCATTTTCTTCCCAGGCTTGATGGTGAACAAGTGGACCCGCATGGAGCGCCAGCTGTCCGCTGGGCTCTAGGGCGCTGTGTCCACCTCCCTGCCTGAGACCTTCTCATGGACCTTCCTGTGGCACCTCAGCCTCAGTGTGCCCAGAGTGCGGTTATTCCACCAACGTTTCTTCTCTCGCCACACTCTCCCCTCAGCAGGTATCGTCTTCTTTCACCAAGTCGCCTACTTCATAAACCCAGAAATCAGCTTTACAGTGTCACGCCCAGCGTCTCTGACCCTCAGCCTAACTCCAACATCCCACTTTAGTACACTGAGACCTTCTTCAGTAATAACCTTAAAATGCAAAGAATAAAAATAATGATCCCAACATAAAATCAGTGGAGGTGTTTTTTTGGGGGGAGGGGGTTTTGGTGTCATGCTAGAAATTAAATAGTTAACATCATAGTACAAAAAAGGTAATTCATTTATAATTTTATGCATTGGTATATTTTTAAAAGGAAATATATATGTATATACACACTCACACAGACACATATATATAACTGCATTATTATATTATATTATATTATTATATAATATATAAAAATATATATTATATTATATAAAATTATATTATATTATATTATTATATATATTACTGCATATATTACTGCATATATATATATATATATATATATATTGGTTGCCAATGCAGTAATTAATAATGATATATTTTCTGGCTTTGGTTAAATACTGCAAATTTTCCAGTCAATACTGATCCTCACACATTCTTGTTCACTACAGAGCACAGTAGATTTGTGAATCTCCTCTCCTAGTTCATTGAAGAACATTTTCTGTTCATTTTAATTTTCAAAACTTTCTTTCCCATGAAGCAAAAAATATACAAATATCAGGAAAAAGCTTAAAGGATACATATGGTGTAAGAATCACAAATATTGCATGTCACACACACAAATCCAGAAATTACAATTCTACTCACAGCATTGTTTGTTCACAATCTATTCTACCAGTTCCAATTTTTCCATAGTAAACTTTTGAACACAAAAACTCCAAGTGCTCACTTACTATGACAGAGCTGAAATAATTCCAGGTCTTATCCATACTATCATGGTCTTTTACTGTTTAAATGCAGGCACATACGTTAAAAGGGAGCATAGAAAAATAAAATATGCCCAGAATAAACTAAAAAGATCCTAGAACTTTGAATCTTATTACTCAAATGAAATCACAGGACTGTATGCACAGAGGGGCTGTTGGGAGGCCAGCTATGTATCTGAAGAATAATAGTAGCCTTCTTCCATAAAGACTACAGATGATATAGTATAAGTTGTGTGTGTGCTAAAGTCACACACATAACCAACTCAGTAATAACTACTGGAACTGCTACTATTTAGACCTAGAAGATGTTTTTCCAAAAGAAATGTTTCATCAAACATTGATACTTAGTACAATGGAACTTATTTGTATCCTTATTGTGGTTATTGAACTCTTAAAAGTGAGTGAATTTATTGTTTATGAAAAAAGAGCAGCCTACCTGTAGTGAGTTTTATTGTCAATTAAAATAATCTACAGACAATGCTCCCTACTCTGTGGCCTAAACCCAAGGCAGAAATCCCCAGCTTTGTCATTACTGATCTGTTAATGTATCGTACCCTTCTTCTGATATCCAAATATCCATAAATATCCATAAAGACAATGACAATTAATAGTTTTAAGTATTTTACAAATAGTTTAAGGTATTTTACAAATAGTTTTAAATATTTTACCAACCCATCTCCGGTTCCCTTTCTAGCCCTCTGTGTTGTCACATCCTACAAGAAATCACGTATGGAGGTTTTTACAAAGGAGTCTCAGTATCTATTCACGTCACTCTGATATATTTTACACAGAGCATCCCAAGTAATCATTGCAAAAAGAGGAATCTGATTAGGTCGTATCTCTTTTTAAAATCTTTCAACAGTTCTGCAATCATGTGTAAAGTTCAGATCCTAATGAGGATGTGATAATCGGTACCCAAGTCCTCCCTGCTGGCTCATTTTCCCCCGGGCCTGTGTTGGCTGTTTTCTGAGCTCTCTCCACAGTGCCCGTGGAGGCCACTCCTATTCCTTTCCCTTCTCCACGACAGGGCTTTACCTGCAGCAGCCGGGGCACAGCACGGCCTTACCTGACCAAATTCTCACTAACACCTCGAATCTTGGACAGGTGGTCTGAAGAGAAGATCTAAATGAACTTAGGTTCCTTAACAAGGTTCCAATATCAACAAGCCCAGTTTGTCCAGAGAGGGAAGGGTGGAACGGTATTGGCTTTGATTCATGGTGAATTATACAGTCAAAAGGTGAACTAAAACTCTCCATCTTTTACAACCTGTGAGTCCTGCTAACCTCTTTCACGTTGCCTGGGAAAGGACATGGCTTTTGCTTTACCACCCTGGCTGGAATGAGGGGGGAGGTATCAGACGGAGTGGGCAGTTTCAATCTCACACGACATTTCCTATAATAATTGCTCTTCTTCTGAAATTCAAGGAACTCTAGGGTGGTTTCTGCCAGCTTCTAAGAAAAATAGCCATTGAGCGGGACTGTGGGCATATTGAGCCTATTATCAGACTGACGGCAGCCAGAACATCTTTATCACTTGATTTCTCGATGCCCTTCCTGTAACAGAAGGCCAGCACCTGTGCGCTGGGGGTCCCTGGTGTCAGTGTCAGCTCAGATATGATATTGAAAAGCCTTTAACACCCTGAGAACTTCCTTTTCTAGTGGACGGTTAAGCACGAACGTGGCCAAATGGCATTCCAGGAAAGAACCGAAGGAATCACTCCTCTGTACTTTTGGGCCATATTGCAAGCTGTATCCTCAGGGTGGCCTGGCCTCGCCTTCAGCTAATGGACTTTGATTCTAAGAACCAGGTCAAATCTGCTTGTTGTTCTTGCCTCTAAGAACATATGGTGTACACATTAGTGATCGCCATAGATCCCTGCAGGCCAAGGCTTCTGGGTGCAGTTCTGACCTGGTATGTTCATTATAGTAATTCATTTTACTTTACCTCTGATCATTAAATGCTGCCGCTGGAGTGGCCTCTATGGTGTCAGAATTCTATCACCCTTCTTGAATTTAGAAAGCGAGACAGAGTGGCACTCTGGAAAACGGCACTGCTGTGCTACCAGAGTGGCTGGTGCCCTTCATTTCTTGCTGTTCTAATGCAGGGAGTGCTCCTAGATTTACATGAAGAATGTAGCTTTCTAATGTCTTCCTGGGTCTCCTATGATAAATCCGCCATAATATGTTCCCTTTGTCTAACGTTTTGACCCCTTCTCTAGCGTGCACCTGGGCAATTTTGGCTTCTCTCCATTCATGGAGGCCACTACTTTCCCCAAGTTTCAACATTACATGAGGAAATCTCTAGACGACCTTGCTAGACTGCTAAATTCTGAATCACAATCAAGCAGCACCCCTCAAGCTTCAGTGCACATTGTGGTTACCCGGACAGTTTGTTACTGTCCCATCCCTAGAGTTTCTCATCCACTGGGTTTTGAGTGAGACCTAAGCATTTGCATTTATAACAATTTCCCAGGTGATGCTTATCTTGCTTAGATGAGGATGAACTGTGAGACTGAGTAGAGTGAGACCATATTGGTACGGTTTTTCTTTTCCAGCCCTGTATTGCCCATCACTCCAGCCAGGACCCACTAGGTCAACTCCAAGGTTACTTTCCCAGTTTTTGCCCAAATATAGTAGTATATAATGCAGCTCCTTTGGTGAATAATTCTTTCTTTTTTTAACAGAGCCTGCTATGATCAAGCCTTACTTAGACTTGACCACACTGAAGGACCTGTTGGCCAGGACAGGTGGAGGTGGATCTCCAAAAGGAAAGATTTTGTCTTCCAAGACACCACCCACCTCCACCAAGGCAAGTGTGTAGCCAATATTAGGGAAAAAATGCAGCTATAAGCAAAAGGCAACTGTAAGATTTGAAAAGAGAGAGAAAACACGTTGCCTTGTAGGTTGGCCAGAACCATGAGCCTGACCTGAGAAGAGCTTGGGGGTTTTGAAAATGAAGCAGGCAGCCTTGAGATAATGCTCAGGTGAGCATATTGATTATTTTAATTTTCTGGCAAAATAAGAGAATTACATCTGCACGACCATAGGGTTCCAAAAAATCAGGAAATCCATCATTCTTGAGCAACTAGAGACCAGACTCAAGAGAAGAAGCAAGTGTAGCATGGTTCCAAATTGCTTGCCATGGTTGAGTGGACAGAGACTAAAGAGAAGAAAGGCAAAGTTGGGCCTGAAATGCATGCGGCAAGTTCAGTTTTATGCCTTAGAAGTATTAATTTAAAGTGGTGCGACAACAGAGAGATATACGAGACTTTACCTGAGCAAAAGGTAGTTTCGGGAGACAGAGTAAGGAATTCAACTGAGTGAATATACCCAGTGTTGTCGAACTCACAGGAAAAAATGTATCACTCAGAGACTGGAGCAGATAGGCAATAGATAGATAGATAGATAGATAGATAGATAGATAGATCGATCAATAGACACATAGATGTAGATTGGTATGGCACAAAAGGTAAGGACAAAACCCTGAGGAAAAAAAATGCCCTACATTAAGATGGATAAATTCATAAAGAAGAGTCCTGTGTGTTAATCAGACCCAAAATGCTGACTAGCTTGGGAGACTAACTGGAAAATATCCTGGTCATTAATGTTAAACACTGGGACACTTTCTGGAAAGATATGCACTGGGAGTTGTTGGCTACAGATGAAACTGTAAAATTTTGCTTCAGTTAGCTAATCCCATTTTACAAAGTCTGAGTGTTTGGGAAGAGAAATGTTGGAGCCCAGCTCTGGAGAAAGTTGGTGCCGTATAAGGGAGAATCCCCAGCTGGCATCTCCTGAGGTACAGGACAGCTGAGGATGCTAACAGAAAGTGAGAATACTCGGTGCCATAAAACTTTTACATCAAACATTAACCTAATGTAACTCTGCTTATTATTTTTATTACAACAATCTCACTTTAAACTTTTTCATTATATACTCTTTCAAATATTCTACAGTAGAAAGAAAAGAAATCATATATATAATCATATATATAAATATATGTAAATGCATTTGAGAATAGACATAGCCTTCAATTTGAGTCTGAAATGGGGCTGAAGGTCTGCAGTCTGGGAGACTTTGATAAAGCATCGTATGATAGCACTTGTTAGGTGATTTGAGCACAAATACAGAAATTATGACTGGTTTATCTTCAAACACACAGGATAGATGCATTGAAAAGACTAGATCTGTGATACGTTGGAATGCACTTTCCTGGTTTTTGGGTATTTTCAGCCGATGTGAGTGCAGTGAA